CCCCATTAGTGCACTTTGTGACAGCTGTGTGTATGAGAGAGAGAGAGAGAGATGAGAAAGAAAATAAAATAAAAATGATTCTTTCCTCTCGCCGCAGAAAAAGACGAAGCCGAGTTCCTCAATGGGTCGTTGTGTATCTTGGCCAGAAGGAACCCAGAGGAAAGGGTTATATAGAAGCTAGGAAGGAAGACGAAAAAAAAAATCGGTTTCGTTGGTGGGCTATGAAAAGAAGCTCGGGGGTTCCTCCGGAAGCAGAGGGTGTCACATGCATCCGCGCCCATGCTTCACGCTTCCCACCACAGAGCTCGTGTCAACGAAACGGGATCAAAGAGTTCAGGAGCCCATGACGATTCTTCTCAACCAGAAAGACTCTGTATTATAAGCAATGAGAGTAAGCAACAAAAAAATAACTCCTCAAACAAAATAAATGGAATTCAAACGCGCGTGGCTGCCCGAGGGCTAAGCCTGAGTTTCATATGACAAAATCCTCCGCATGACACCTTGAAGCATCTCAACCCAAGTTTACCTTTATCAAACCTACTTCATAAATATAGTTATGTATCAAATTCAAAATCTAAAAAAATTAGAACCTTTTGGGGCAACCAGAGCAAACATCTACTGTATTAAAAACGTCATGGACAAAAAAGCAAGGGATAAACTGTTAACACTAAGTAATTCCAAAATGTAAAAAGAAGATAATGGGATAAGCAGTTGATTACTTTTCACTTCATAATATTGTATACTTCGCAAGAAGAGATGAAAAAAAAGTGGGTTAACAAAAATTATTTTAGCTCATTTTAATGTCTTTACTTTCAGTATGACTACCAATAGATTTATAAATTCATATATCTTTAAATTCCTTCATTTCTACTTGTTACCCACAATATTAATGAAGGGTGTTTTTAAGACTATGATATTGAGGGAACTGAAGTGCCAAAGCAATTATGAAGCTTGTAGGCAATTTGATGCACAGGGAAATATAAGAGAGGACAATAATGTTCATGGGTGAAGTTTTAGAATGAGACTGATATATTTCCTCACATTACACAAGCCTTATTCACACCACAAAATAAATACATGACATCATAGATTTTTCACACTCCAAACAAGTCCACGCACTCAAATTAAGATTTTGCAAGGTGATTATTCCGAAATCGGAACATTCGAAATAAAAATCCTATATGCCAATTGACGACCGATTTGAAAATACGACACTCTCATCCCATGTTTACAATGGTATAAGCTCCAGCCAATTTTCGGGGAGGAAAAAAGATTCCACAATATATAGGCGTTGCTTTTGGCGAAAAACGTAAAATGACGAAATCTTGGGACATATGCATATATTAAAAAAGATATCGGAAAATCCTTTCGAGGGCAATCCCTTGAAATATCCTTCAATTCAACAAGTACACGCGAAAAAAAAGGCTCAATAAAAACAAGAATTGAAAAGTTCCGTCTCTCTCTCTCTCTGTCTGTCTCTCTCTCTCTTTCTCTCTCTCTCTGTCTCTGTCTTCGCTTTCATTCCCCGACTTTAACGCATTATACGTCGGGGTTCGAGGCAAAAGTACAAAGCACTTTGCGCTCTAGAAAACGCCTCTCTATTTTGTGCAAGAAAGTTTCCAGATTGGGTTCGATGTATTGACGAGTTATTCGAACGTTTCCTGAGTATGCTCAGGCAAAGCAGCTGAACTTGAAATCCGTTTACGCGCAACTTTTTCCTCACTTCTTTTTCCCAATTCTTTGAAAGAGCGGTGCAACACGCAAAAACACTCAAACAGAGGAGGAGATGGACACGAAAGTTGTATATGTTCTTCTTTTGCTCAGTCTTCTTCGAGATACCGAATTACCGGTCGGGAAAACTTCGCTTTTCTCGAGGGCCAAACTACTCCGTCATGTCTTTCTCATTTTATTCCCCGTCGAAAAAAAAAAAAAAAAAAATAGGACAGGCGCTGAGGACGAAGGCAAATTATTTCATCATTCTGGAAGAATATTCAACTTTACTGAAAATAAATAAATACGAGAGTTAGCTCATAAGATTGAATGAATTATATCAAACAGACAAACAAACAAAAAAGTAACTGTGGAGGAACACATCCTGGTCTGCCGAAATTGTCAAGTCCATGTAAAGTTTGCAAAAACAGTATCGTCCCTTTTTTTTAGCAGAACCCGACGTACCCATTGGCATATCATTCCCATAACAAGCCCCATTCGAGTGCATATGGCAAAAATGCCCCCCATCTTGAACTTGATACGTCATTTTCAGTCTTCGTTAACCCCTGGGGGCAACATCGGGGTCTTTCTTTTTTTTTTTTGGCAGCAGCCAAGACGGGCCTGTCTATCCCGGAAGAAAATGTTGTTTAGCGCGGGGAAGGCGGGTTTGAGTTGGGTTGGGTTGGGACCCCGAAACAGCTAGCGCAGAGACCCTCGCAGTCGTGGTGGCCCGGGTTTGCAGCAGCAGCAGTCGCTTCTCCCAGTGGGCCATCTCGGGCTTCGCAAATTGCGCGGCGCGCGGGGCGGATATTGGCAATAAATAACGCGGAATGGACTCGTCTCGGCGGCTGCTCGCCCATGAGCAAAGCGATGCGGCCGCAATGACAATGAGTCCGAAAATCTCCTTTTCGCATCTCCACTGCCATCTGGGGGGTGGTGTGTGTATATATATATATATGGGCGATGTATATATACATGTGGCTGGTGCATATAGTGCTGGGGGGTTCCCAGGGTGAAGTCACAAGAGGGTTTATGCTGGAAAACTTGGCGACGCGAGCATCAGGTTTCCAGCTCATTCTTTGCAGTAACTGCTGGGATGCATGTATACGATACGTACCGTGGGGTTGGCACTTGGCATCTATATGTCATGCGTCCTTTATTTTATTTCTCGTGTGTGGGTGGCATTTTTAATGGAAAGCTGACGGATCAGGGTGATGGTGTGGCACGTGAATGGATAGATAACCTTCATTTCAACAACAGCAACAACAACATGTGGAAAACGCGTCGTTCCGAAGTAAAATGTGCCATTTCAGCCGCCGAATCACGCCGGGATAATAAGGCTGATGGTTCTCTATTGTCCATTCTGCTTGTTCCGCTTATTGATAATCTCAAAATTTTAAAGGATACCATAACCTCCTGATTTTTATTTGAAAGTTGTCATATTTTGCATTGGAAAACGACGGGATGGAATCAAACAGCACATGCGATCAATTTTATGTCGCCCAAGAATGATTTTTGAGAATTGAGGCAGCGTTCTCAAACTTCCAGCAGTTCATTATCAAGAAATTCAAAATTTATTCATATTTCATGCAGATTCAGGATCGAAAATTTATGAACGAAATGCATGAAGAAACTTCTTGCTGCCATGCAATCAAAAACGGAGAAAATCTTGATTCACCAGTTTGGAATAAAAATAACAAGGCAGTTCCTTCATGAAAAAAGTGCCATGAACTCATAGATCTCTGAAATGGGTCTCTGAAACACGGTACCGGGTCATCCGCCAGTCGGTCAATTGACGGTCGTGCACCCGCCGGTCGTCAAGCGCTGGTCGGTCCAACCACCAGCCAGGGCAGTTCTTGGCCTCGCCAATCCCCAGTCCACCAAACCGCGGTTTGGTCACCCAATTGTTGGGGCACCGGAACAATTTGGTGAGAAGAATCATGCTGATTCTTTCTAGAATTTGGTAAACCCAGTCCACCAAACCGCGGTTCGGTCACCCAATTGTTGGGGCACCGGAACAATTTGGTGAGAAGAATCATGCTGATTCTTTCTAGAATTTGGTAAGCAGAATGGTATCCTACCATAGATTATTTTTTTTTACAAAATTTCATCTTATAAAAATTTTTACAAAAAGAAAAAAACTTATCAAACCCAACCTAACTTAACCTAACATATCCTAACCTAACCTAACCTAACCTAACATTGCTGAAATTTTGAAGAAAAAATCTGTGGTAGGATACCATTCTGCTCACTGAATTCGGAAAAAAAAATCAGCATGATTCTTGTCACCCGATTGTTCGGGTGCCCCAACAATCGGGTGACCAAACCGCAGTTTGGTGGGCTGGGGATTGGGGAGGCCAAGAACTGCCCTGGCTGGCGGTTGGACCGACCGGCGCTTGACGACCGGCGGGTGCGCGACCGTCAATTGACCGACTGGCGGCTGACCGGACACGGCATTTTTGCTGAACGAAGACTATTCAAATGGTCAGAAAATTTCTGAAAGATTCCTCAAGTCGAGGCACTACATCATCGTTTACAAAATCCTTCAAATTTTTTTCCCCTGCGGAATCAGGTGATGTAACGAGCTGCGAAATTCCAATAATTCATCCATTTCTGGGATACAAATTTTTGTTATTTCGTATTGAATGCATGAATTTCATGTCTACTGTAATACTTTTTTTATGGAAAGTGTGTGATCATGCTGCGATTAAGGTCCAGGTGACAACGCTCTATCTTACCTTCAGTGCTAGAGATTGAATTGTGCTTGGGACTGTTGATAATTAAATCCCTCTCTCTCATATTCGGTTGAACGCGTTATTAAAGTAAGGTTGGTTTCTTATATTTTGATATAGTTCCCTGATATTATCAGATCCTCACAGAAATAAATGCCACCACGATATATACCATACAATAATTATATTTCTTTTTTTGTTTTTCAGAGCACAGCCCACCCATCGACATCGATCAGTTGAACAAGGACGTTATGGAGAAGAGTTACGAGTTTTACGACGCGCTGAGTAATTCTCACTGGCTTCCACCGGAAGTCACGGACATCTACGAGAAACTTGCCATGGGGGAAATCTGAATTCGATGTCAAGGATTTTTTTTCGGCTTGGTGTCACTTCGAAACATAATGGTTTTTGATGTCGTTTGTTTGTTTCACGATGAAAGCACTTTCATAGTACTTGAGGATTTCTCCGAAAGTCGGTGTCCGTCGACTGTGTACAATGTCAATTCATGTCTGTGTAGCAATGGCAAGTGTTTCATAAAATACGATGCTTTTTTCCCTGGCAGATATTGTGAATTTTTGTTGCGTATTTTGTTCTTTGTTTTGGATGGCGTTCTGGCAATCATCGTCGCTGTGAAAAAAGGAGCTTGATGGTGAGGATTTTGTTCCGTGTGTCAGCTTATCTAGCGTGTCTTTATTTCTCGATTCAAGATTAAGAAAAGTGTTTTCAGTCGTTGCATTTTATTCTCTCCTCATATCAGAGGAGTCACGGATTTTCCTCTTTTCGCTCGAGTAGTGAAACCATGGTGATGTCTTCGTGTTGCAGCCTTTACGTACGTATTCCTGATTCTTCGAGAACGCAGTGGTTTTTGTGGGTAGGGCAACCGCCCGAACCTCCCATGCCGCCAATGGACGGACTTCTCGGTTGGTTCCAGCCTGAACACAAGGTGATTGATTAAATTTCACTTCTTTTGCATTTTGAGATTCGCTTAAAATCTCGTATGTAATGATGATTTTTGATCACCGGTTTTTCGTTTAGCTTCTTTCTCAATTTTTACAATGCGGAAACTCGTAATGTGCCTTAAAATTTCTAAGTATGTGACAATCGATTTGGTTTTTTTCAAAATTCGGCGATCCAACCGTGCATTGAACGAAACGGGAGTAGCGTAGTATGTCGTCGCTTAAGTCGGAGAAACAAACAGAATGCTTGTGTCCGGCACCCGCGTTGTAGACTACTTTTTATGTGTCTCGTTGATCGAATATCCTTGTAAGTGATACTGAAGCTCCTCCTTTGACTGAATATCAGCATTGTTTTGATGTACAGAAACTCTGAACTGCAAATATCTTCCAAGGGGATTTTTCACCGTTACGGCGTTTCTCTTTATTTTTGCAGCACGCGATTGCGTATACAGTATTTTCAAACTTTGGATGACAAAATAATGAATCCGTGTTTTCGCTAGAGGCAATTTCCTGTTGAATACGATTTTTAAATTGATCAGTATGAAAATTCTCTGTAAATATGGTGAGGGTACGTACGACCCGGTGTACAGGAATCCTCATTAGAAAACAGAACTTCAAGTGAACAGTTTGATACGAGGGTGGTTCGATTTCCGTGTGCAGTACTGTAAGTTTGTATCCCGAACAGCCTTCAACAGAAAACCCGTGAATATTTCAGAAGATTAGAAATTTTGGTCGTAGAATAATTTTTTTTTTCTTGAATACTTACCTGAGTTTTGTCCAACGGTGTATTTCTGACCCGCTTGCAACCCTTGGCGAAAACGAGTAATGCAGATAATGATTCAATCTGTATGAACGAGGAGTGTTGCCCAGGCTTCCTGTCCGGAATTTTCAGTTCCCATTCGAGAGCCTCGAAGATATTCCTTCAGCAATCAAGTTTCAATCAACCAGGAGCATCGATTTCTACTTTCATTGTTGAAATTGATTTTATTTCCGCTCTTCATTGGCTGATTACTCAATGATCAGTGAGCTATTGTCCCGTCCTTTTTTAACATCATTGCTGTAGTTTAAATAAATTACTATCCAGCTTGCAAGTTTAGTACAGTAATTAAAAACCATGCTTCCTTCTGCAGGAACACGTGAAAGAACTAGAACAGCATCAGTTGTAAATACACGATTTTAGAAGCTTTCGAAGAAAATTGAATTTGGAAATTAAAGTTTCAAAGTGAGTAAGAGAGTCTCACTAATCTAATTTCCCCATTTGAATTGGAAAATTGCAAGAAAAGCAATGAACATGCAAGGAAAGCGTCACCAAATTACTTTTGATGATCTGGGAATAGGACCTAGTGATCTCGATCGTTTAACGATATGCTTCGTTTTTGGCTGGGACACGTGTCAGTTGATGCTGATTTAAAAGATTTTTTCACGCCAAATTTCCGTGATGAGCAAGTACTGAACGGTACAAAAACAAAAAAAAGGGGGAGCTTTCAGACTCGAGATGAGTATAGTAGTACAGTATTAAAGAAACATGCTGTATTCCCTCTTTGCCCAAATTGAGACTATATTTTCTGACTTCACGTGGCTTACCTAGTACTATTAGAAAATTACCTGCGCGAGAACGGAACTACCTCTTAGTTCGCTGATTTATGCACGGTCATTCATAGATTTTGTATTCTGTATCTAGGTGAAAGCTTTAGAGACCTGGACAGCAGCGTACCTGACCTTCGTGAAAGAGAAAGACGCGAATGGGGCATGGGGTCACGGGATTCCGCCGGCTGTTCACGCCTTGGCCAACGCCGGGTCGTCGGGAGTGGTTTACAACGATGCGTCGTTCGCCACGCCGCACGGACTCAAAGACGACAAGTTTTTGGCGACGAGTAACTCTACCCAGAGTGCGTACGCCATTATGTCAAAAGTCACCAGCGTCGGTCATCGGCTGGAGAACCGCGCCTCGACCTGGAATCTCGACCAGAACTCTCGGCTCACGTGCAAATACGGCGGCTGTCCCTGGCGTCAACTTCGGAGTCACTACTCTTCTGGGATTCTCGGGTCGGTTGATGCACTATTACAGCTGGACTTGACGGATTTTTTTCTAGTCCATTGAATCCTCTCTACTACGAAATTCTTTTTTCAACGAATTTGTTCTCTTGTCCCTTGAATTTCGTTGTGAAGAACCCCTATAACATGGGGAGAGAATCCTATCAGACCAAAAAAGAATTTGTTATGCGGAGAAAATCGTTTTAGATAAGATCGTTTTACAGAGAGTCCATGTATTCTTTTATCTTTATTTTTTATTTCGCGTAATCATTGCTGAAAATACTGTATTGGCCGAAAAGTTCCCTTTTTTTATAGTGAACAGCTTTGTATCAACATCTAATTGGTATGATAATACGAAAATTAATTTTGTTTCTACTCTTCGTTTGATGCTTAGGTGATGCACGTTTCTTGGAGAATGTTTTAGCAAATGTTGCTCTTAATTAGAAGATGTTAATATTCATCGGTAATTTCTGTGCAGGTGGACTCTCTCAACAACGAAATTCAAGGGACTGGAAAGAAAAAAATCGTCGTTGAGAGAATTTCGTTGTGGAGAACCAGTATAACGTAGGGAGAGAATCCTATGAGACTGGGAAAAGATTCGTTGTACAGAGAAAATCGATGTAGACAAGATCATTGTAGAGAGTTCCACCTGTTCCAATTAAAATTTCATTATTCTCATGAAGCCATCTCTGACTACTTGCCAGTATTTCAACTTCTCCGATTATAGCAGTTGAAATTCGTGCGTGTATCATAAACTTCAGGAACGGAAAGGACAAAGATTTCAATGGTAGGAGTGTGCGTCATACATTTTCTTGTTCACTCGAAGCTATTTGGCCTGAAATTCGGAGAAAAACTGAGCATACGTAATCGTTGGGACCTATAAGGGTTCATCCTTATCGGAATCTGTTTCATTTGACTATTAGCGATTTCTTATTGTTTCTGTGACCTGAAAATTGGACGTTGTGTAAATGTGAAGACGATGTTGGTTTTTTCATACTTTTCGTCCTATGCATTGGCGACTTTTGTCAGACTGAAAAAGTTAATTTTGCTATTTCTATTTTGTACAGCTTGCACGAGGAAATCCTGGACTTCTTCAGCTATATGACTCCTACGGAGGAAGAAAGCAATTTGAGAATGCGGGTTATCCAGCGAATACGTGACGTAATTTTATCGTTATGGCCTGATGTTGAAAGTGTTCAAGTATTCGGAAGCTTCAGAACTGGATTATATCTTCCCACGAGGTGAATACAGGAAGGATATTTGTGCCATTTTTCAAATTACCATCGGTTTTTTTTTTAATGCATTCTCGCAGTGACATTGACCTGGTTGTAATGGGGACGTTCAAAGAATCTCCCCTTCACGTGCTGGAAAAAGCATTGATCGAGCATGAAATCGCAATACCTTCGGGGATTAAGGTCCTTGACAAGGCCTCCGTGCCGATCATTAAGGTGAACTTTTGCTTGTTATTATTTTTGTCGCATATGGATGAAAGGCCTGTGTCCGTTTCCCATTATTTCAAATGTATAAATGTTTGATTCACGTGATACTTTGCCCATAAAAAAGTTATTATTTCTAGAGTTTTGAACGTACTACAGTACGTGGTGCATCCTAATATGGGAACACGGTGTGAAACAGGAGAAAAGGCTGGCATAATTCCAGTAAGTTGTCCACGCTTTGGGCAAATGAAGGGTAAACTTTGGTTTTTCCTGATGTAAAACTGTTAGTGTGATGTGCAATTACGCAAATATTAGTTGATTTAAGTTGTCTTAACTGTGGATGTCGGAATCTTATTTGAAATGAAAATGCGAGGAATCATTTCTTTGTGGTTTCCACTGATGTGCTTTAATTTCTAGGTGGGTGGCATCTAAGCACAGTACAGACTTCATTAAGGTATCATTCCAGACTTCCTACGAAAGTCTGGAATGGTACACTTTTTTTGACAATTTCCTGAAAACTTGAGGTTATTCTGATGCATTCAAGCTTTCCCTCTCTTGTTCTTTTGTTCCATATTCCGATGGCACAAATAACATATGCACAGTTTTTCTTTTTTTGGGTTTAGTAGCACGTAAATCACCCTTCATCATAAAAATTGACGAACATGTTCATGGGAATGTCCAGGTGTGGGACAAAGAAAGCAAGATCCGCGTTGACATCAGCTTCAACATGCGTTGTGCGGTTAACGTGGCGAACCTGATCCGATCATTCAAGGAATCTTTCCCCGTACTCCCGCACCTGGTTCTTGTTCTGAAGCAATTCCTGATGCAGCGAGATATGAATGAAGTGTTCACCGGTGGCATATCTTCATATTCATTGATTTTGATGACAGTGAATTTTCTTCAACTGCATCCACACCTGGACGCTGTGCTAGCAAAACCCGGCTATCTCGGAGTTTTGCTCCTCGAATTTCTCGAACTGTACGGACAGAAGTTCAATTATTTACGTACAGGGATCCGAGTTGCTGACGGAGGCTCATATGTGTGTAAAAAAGAGGTGAGATTGTAACATTGATTTTTGTCTCGATTTCTCCCTTTCAACTGGTCAGTATTCATCGTATTTCTGTATTTTTGAAGAAGATAGCTCGCTTTGAATAATTCTTGTCTACCTTTTGGGATTTCGGGTACGGAGTTGAAAATATAGGTGGACTCTCCACAATGATCTTGTCTACAGCGATTTTCTCTGTATAATGCATTTGTTGAGGTCCCGTAGGGTTCTCTCCCCAAATCATAGGGGTTCTCAACGACGAATTTTGTTCGGGCCCCTTTAATTTCGTTGTAGATATGCATAAATTTTTATTCGTACTGTTTTCAAGGATACATTTTTTGTGCGTGTGTGCTTTTTAGGTACAGGTGGACTCTCTACGACGAAATTCCTAAACATTAGTTATCGGGAGAATTTCGTTGTAGAGAAACTATGAGATGGATAGAGACACTCTTGGAAAAACAAAAATCATTATCAGACTACGGAGAAAATCGTTGCAGACAAGATCGTTGGAGAGAGTCCTCCTGTATCACTTTAGTTTGAGCTGTCTTGAACGAGATTACTTCAAGTTAGCTTGTATTAAATCAGTTCAGGTAGTTGTGTATAATTACCAATTCAAACGAAACGTTTTTTCCGGAAACAAACATCGAAGGGGAAAGGAACACATTCCCTATGCCAATGTGCATTCTCTTATGTGGTATGTTTTTCAGAAACTGGAAGAGACCCGTCAAGGGCCATCGATGCTCTACATTGAGGATCCGCTTATACCGGGGAATGACATAGGACGCGGATCTTACGGAGCATTATTAGCAAAAGTCGCCTTTCGTTATGCATACTCCACATTGTTGGCCGCCTGCTCTTCTTTTCTCTCTGCCAACCTCGACTGTGATAAATACAGGTGAGAAATTTTGCTATCGTATACTAACTGCTGTCAACAGTATCCAGTATTTTTAAATGCTGAAGATTGTGTATCTTGAATTTCTCGGTATCTAGAACTTCGGATTGCTCATTATTATTTGAGCTGGAAAAATATTCGTAGACTGGACTATCCTGAAACGTCCCTAATGTTCTGAAAAAGCGGAAACTAATCGAACGAAGTTGTATTAACGAGCGCTACGTTAATTTTTTTCAATGATACTTTTCTAGTTTTCTGTCTCCTTTCGTCAAGAAATTTACCGAGGAATTTTTCTGCGTTCCTTCGAATTTGGATCTCCAGGTCTACGTGCTCTTCAATTAATGTCATTTGGCTGGCGGGCATAAAGCAAACAGACCGCCCACGATTTTTCCTTGTTTCTTCCTTGGGGTTATCTTCTGATCTATTGATCTATTCTGTTAAACTATTGATTCTCTTTTTTATATTTTAGTTTGCTCGGACGGATAATCGTAGTTACCGATGATGTCGTGATGTACCGCGAGTGGATCAAGGAAACATTTCCGCTGACGGACGAATCCCGTGTTGACCCGAGCAGTATAGGCTTTTGCACGGACGACCCTGCCTCCGATCCGGGCACCGACGGCGGCGGTGGCTTGGGGGTCGGTGCTGTCTCACCCTCACCTCACTCCCCTACTTCATCGGGTTTGTCGTCTGCCACGTCATCGCGTTCCTCGTCGACAGCATCCACTCCGCCACCGCTTTCGTCTTCCCCGTTGTCATCCTCGTCGCCGCCGCCGCCACCATCTGTGCCGAGACTCATCTCTTCTGCTAGCCAATTGACGGCCCGGATGACGAGTTCGTCCGGAACGCAGAGATACCATGGCTCAAATGTGAGTTCCGCATTTGGACTTTGCTTCGAGTCATTGGCCTAAACTTCAGATTTATTTTTTCGTTTTTTTGTTCTATAGATATTTTATGTTGCTCCGCGTCTTGGAGTGAGTCGGCGATGACATTTTATTCGTATTTAAAAATTTATGGAAAAATTTCGTGACACTTAGTGGACTGAAATCCATTCCATTGCGGTTACGAAGGGACCGGTATGAATCGAGTTGTTTTTACGATGAGTATGTGAGATTTAATCTTTATCTGCGTAACTCCCGAATCCGTTCTACGTTTTTAATCTTTGAAATTGTCTTCTAGTATTTCAATAGTGGGCAGTATTGAGGGAATCCTGCGGAGTCTTTCGATATGTCTTTTTTTCGGTGATGAAATATCAGCTGTGTTTTGTCTATATGCCGTTGCCATCTTTGGTGTTCATTTCTCTGGGGTGAAACTTAGTTTCGGGTCGAAATCATTCTTTTTCCGCTGCTTGTTTTGTCGATCATGTGAGCAAATTTCATCGTGTACTTGACCATTTAGTAGGGGTTCTTGATCGACGTAAATTTTGGTTCTTGATTTAAATTGTTCTGTGAACTTTCGTTACGAAAGATGCTTAGCTGTGATGATTTTTTGAGTAGAGTTTGTTTTCACTGAGTTTCCAGTCTCACGAATGCTGAAGAGACGCTGTCCGTAACGGTAGACGCCGAGTGTAAATTAAACGCAGTCCAAGACGCAATACAATTTTATGTTTTGTCGATCATGTGAGCAAATTTCATCGTGTACTTGACCATTTAGTAGGGGTTCTTGATCGACGTAAATTTTGGTTCTTGATTTAAATTGTTCTGTGAACTTTCGTTACGAAAGATGCTTAGCGCCGTTTTGGAGAACATGTATTCCATTAATTGAATCTTAACTCAGTTCAAAATAAAGTTTTAAATTTTAAAACTTTTAACGACATTATTCGCGGTCCCATCATCGATGTCGAAGCAAGATCATTGAACCTCTTGACGATCAAGGGGAATCAGGGGGCTGCTGCAAAATACTTCGTAAATAACGGAATGAGGGACCAAGAAAAGCCCGGCGAGGATGCTAGATTTTTTGAATCTTGAATTTAGTTTTGGTCATTGGAATAGGTCAACTCCTAGTTTGATGCTGCTGTTGAAGTTTCTAATCAGAAATGCAAAAATCGTATTTCTGTATTCTACTTAATTTTTCGTACTGCGGGAATTTTTTATTGAAAATACAATATGAAAGCCCCTGTTTTTTTCGCACATTATCTCTCAACATGGATTAATCGGAAGCCTGCGGATCGGAGGAAAATATGTGCCCAGGAAGTTTTTTGTGGGCCCGAGCGAACTTCTAAATTAAAACAAAAATGGAATGAAATATAATCATACAATTTGTCGTATTTACTGTACTTATGTACTTACATACCGTACACAAGCTGGGGGTGCCCAGCCACACCTGGGCATCATTATGGCACAAATTGAGGAAATTTTATGAGCCCAGGTCATATTTATTAGATGGGGTACCCAGGTCTTCTGCTTAGTTTTACAAAGATTTAGAAATATTTTCATTGTCAGAAGAGGTGACATATTTGAGATCACTGATTATTTCTGCCCAATAATTGTGAACCTCTGGGTCCCATGGTGATTCATTAAGGCGTTTATCCAACTATGAGCTACAGGTCATATTTTTAATCTCCATTTCCACGAAATAATCCAAATTTCCAAGTTATTGAAAATTAGTCTAAATTATGTCCAAATGTGTCCTAGAGTAATCCAAACTTGTCAGCATTAGTCCAAATACTGTAGTTGAATTTTTTCTGATATTGTGGGTGTGTGAGGATTGATGTCTGCACACATCCACTGAATTGCTGAATTTTTGAAGGGCGGTCTGCATACATCCAAAAGATTTCCACATTTTTTGGATGTTTGAGGAATGTAATCCACACATATCTGAAAATTCTGATTTTTGGATGTCTGCAGACTAAAAGTGAATGTGCATCCACTTTTAGTCCACAGATATCCAAAAAAGATTGAGGTTGCACAGTAATTGATTAAGGGCCTGTGTGGACAGCTGCCAACATGTTAGTATCTGCAGCTGTGTGTGTGTGCTGGGGTGTCAGAATGCTGTGCAGGAGGGTTGAGGTTTGATCCTGGTTCAGGTAGGATGCTGTGAATTCATCAAGTATTTGGACTTCAATTAATGCCAGGGGATTTCTCCAAAAAGTATAAAAAAAGTTGTCCAACTTTAATGCTAAACTGATCCAAAGCTATCCACATATGTCTAACTTGTGCAAAAAATTCTGGACAACTTTGGAAGAAAAATGGAGCATATTAAATGCATTGAATACATAAAAGCCATGGGACAACAGGAAAACCAAGTAGACACTGTATAAATGTTTTCCTCATCATGATTTCCATCCTCTTCCCCCCCCTGATTTGAATATTAAGGAGGGATCATTGACAGCAAGTGGTACACTCTCAAAAAATCAATGGGTGGAAATTTCCATTTTTCAGGGGGAATTTTCCAGAAAATACAAAATTGATCCCATATTTTACACACCACATGCAATGTTTCACAGGTGAACACAAAAACTCAGTTTGAAAGTGACACAGAAATGTAGTAAAATGATCACGAATATTCCTGCAGAAAAAATCATAATGAAATGGTATTCACTCTCAAATGTAGGATTTAAATATTTTGACTTCTTAGTATGTTAGGAGTGTAGGACTTGGTCCAGTCTTGAAAATTTTGGCCCAGCTTTGTGCACATAGATAGTTTATGCATTTAAATATTTTTTTAATATTGAGAATTGAATCAGTAACATTTAAGAAACAAAAGGTTTTTTCCCCAATTTTTGTACAACTTTCAGTAAGGTTTTTTTATTTTTCCTTGTACTTCTGGCAATTTTCAAGATTTGTGTATGTTTAACAGAATAAGAAAATTGAGTGAAATGCAGTGCGCATGCAGCAGCATTCAAAATATGAGGTTTGAAGCACAATTATATTTTTGACAAATTTTCAAAGTGGAAGGAAAATGGGAACAGGAATTTGATTTTTTCTCTTCAGCTCATTGTAATTTCTTTAATACTTTATTACCTGAATTTTAAAATTTCTTGCAGGGTTGTCTGAAAAGGTGTATGTGGAAATATACCTTGTTTTTTTTCACTGAAAAAGGTTGCAAATGCAATCATTAGGAATTATAAAAATGAAATTGTTGTTTCCCAACTTTTGTTTGGTTTTCCAAACTTTTTCCGCATTTTACATTGTAATTTAGTCAATTTTCAAGCTTTAGGACAATTTGAAATGAGAAAATTTTGCAAATATCATGGTGTTTGTAATAAAGGTTTTAAAAGTAAGTTTAATGAAGAATTTCATTTTTGACAGATTTTTAAAGTTGACAAAACTTTAAATGGAATTTTCAACTAATTTCCAATTTTTCACTTTAGCTTGCTGTTACTTGTTCAATTTTGATTCTATTCCAAAACTTTTTGCCATGTTTATGTGCACAGATGTTTTAAAATTCACAAATTTTTTTATTTGAAAAATGTTGAACCTTGAATGAGTTAAAATTCAAAATATAAATTCTTTTTTCCCAAATTTTCATATAATTTCTGAAAAACGTTTTGTAATTTTGTAAAGATCTCAGTCAATTTTGGACATATTTGAACATTTAAAAAAACGAAATGCGCAAAACTTCATTGCGCATATACACGGTGAAAATGTTAGAGTTTGATGAAACAGAAATTTTTTGGTGAATTTTTAAATTGAGATAGTCCAGAAACAAAAAATGTCCAAGTTTTGAGTTTAACTCAGCATAACTTTTTTAGGATGGATCAATTTCAATTTTGAAATCCTCATTGCATGCAGAATTAGATTTTACAAATTTTGGAATTTTTTTTTATCAAATAAGTCGAAAATTGAGCAAGTTACAGATTAAAATAGGTAACGATTTCGAAAAAAAGATTCCCCCCTGGTGGGATTGAACCGGGGTCTTGGACGGCGGTGCGCTGGGCTTCACTCCACCTTACCGCCCGTGCTACGACGCACAGCTATGCTGTGAGGTTTGAAGGTATCCGTTTTCTTCAGAAAATGCGGGTTCTCCTGATTCCCGCCTGCTGTTCTTGTGGGCAGGGCTTATCGGGAGGAAGATAGGGGGCTAAGTGAGGAGGGATGGAGTGATCAACGGAATCACCGACAAACGCAAGTAACTTTATTATAGGGGATTCTGGATTCCGCCTGGAAGGTCAGAACAGCAGGGAAATTAGCGGGTGCTTATATTCACCTATTATTGGAGTTATAATTTTTTCCACGAAAAATCTTGGTGTTCATATATATTCGATGGGTGCTCA